TTTTTTGAAAATTATTCTCCTCTATGCTCACTACTGTTCGTTCTCCCCCCCCCCTTAAACCGCTGCAGGGGTTGCCATATGATCTAAATAACCCTCCTTCTCTTCGCATCCTCTTTGCATCTCCACTCTCGACGCGACGCACGGCAGGGCATGAAGGGTGCCTGTGTAGAGTTCGCAGAACTCTGCCAACAAGTGTGTGTGTGTGTGTGTGTGTGTGTGTGTGTGTGTGTGTGTGTGTGTGCGTGTGTGTGTGCGTGTCTGTGTGTGTGTGAGCGCGGGTGGGTGCGTGCTTCGCTCAACACTTAGCTAGGTTTAATGAGGTGGGGTGCGCGAGCAGCGCGTGAAGCAGCCGAGTCGACTCAAAGTGAAAATACCTCTCCACTTTTTAAAATGCGACGGCCCATTTTTCGCCACTAGGCCCTGTTGAGGAGTCGGTAATGTGCCCAGTATCAACCCCACCCCCTCTATCCCCTTTGCCCGCCTTCCTGTGAGTTCCTATTACTCCGTCCCCACCCGTCTGGGCCGCACTGCACACTGCACTGCTAAAAGCGCGCCAGCTCCCCCCACTCTCCACTTCGGAATTGTGTTCCATGTAATTTTTTTTTGATCCATCACAGTCGATGTGATGTCGAGCTTTTCGTTCGACAATATGTGGTGCCCACCTTCGCGTCGGAGAGGTAATCTCCAGTGGCGTAGTAGAAGACGATGGGGGCCACCACGTTGGTCAGGTTGTAGAGCGGCGGCTGGGACCGCCCGTAGAGGCGCGTGTTCAAGCGGACGCCGTGGTCGTACTGGCGGAATTGGCCTGCGGGTGGCAGCAACAGCTTTAGCTTTACTGACAACCATCGTAGAGACGATGATCTCGTACCGGCACAAAAATGGTGAATAACTCACCCGTCTTGTACACCTGGGCGAAATGGACGAACTGGCCCAGCGAACCTCCTGCAGGGAGGTGAGCGAGGATGGTGGTGAAGAGCGTCTGCAAGTGCAAAAATAAAAGGGTTGTGTAGTAAATTTTTCACAAAACTTAAAAAGAAAATATAAAGAAGTTTTCAATGAAACAAGTAGTAGTCTTTGCTCTGTTAAATGCGGCCACTCACCTCGTTGAGCTGCTTCCTGTCCGGGCCGGCCACCTGCATGAAGACGGCGACGCAGAGGTTGTAGGTGGCGGCGCCCGGGTGGCACAGGCTGTTCATGAGGGTGAGCGGCACGGTGCCGAGGGGCAGCACCTCCACGTGCGAGGCGCGGAGGTCGCGCTGCGGGGAGTCACGGGCAGAAATGGAATAACAACAATGACAACCATACGTAAAACGCTGTAAAACGTCCCGACCGAATCCAAAATGGAACACAAATACGCCCACACATAATCTGTTTGCTCCTGCGCGCGTTCATTTGGCATGGACCTCGTCGCTGACGTCACCGTCGTTGTCGTCGTCTTCCTCCAATGGTGCGTTCAGGGGGAAACAGTGTTGGTGTTGATTATCTCCGGGTTCCGTTTCGGATTCAGCGGAATGAGTAAACGATATCGCCTCTTATAGAATTATGATACGATCGTGTTGTTCACGCCCTGTGTCGCACTAGCCACTACGACGACAACGACTAGGGTAGTCATTTTAAATAAGCTATTTCAGAGAACTGGGAAAGAAGAACAACACGCATGACAAGGGGGCCTGCGACGGCCTGCGATTCGTCGCTCTTGTTATTCGTGCTGTTCTTCTTTCCCAGTTCTCTGAAATAGCTTATACTCCAATTGCAGAATAACTCAATGCCTCTTTTCATACACACCTCAAACTTCTTGCTGACGGGCAAGGCCGAGGCCATAAGGCCCCGCGGATGCTGGAAGTAGACGACGGGCGCCAGGAGCGAGGCCTGGCGAATGCGGCTGTTGTACTCGGGGCGCGCGGACAGCAGCACCAGCAGCGTCGTCGTGCCCATCGAGTGTCCGATGTAGTAGAGAGACGGCTGCCCGGTCACGCCCAGCGCGTAGTCCAGCTCGGCCGCCAGGTCGTAGAAGCCGTTCTCGTGCCAGCTGCGCAGTCACGGGACGAGATCAATATAGAGTCACGCACGGTAAAAAGAATGCCTTGAAATCAAAGTAATTTCTTAGGATTTCAAGACATTATTTTTACGTCTGGGGGTGTTTGTGGG